GGGACAGAATCCGGCGCCCCAACCGGGACTAGAACCCGGGGTGCCGGCGCCACAGGCGGAGGATTAGCCAAGTGAGCCACGGCGCCAGGCCCCCACAAGGCAAATTTGTTAGATTAGATAGGCAGAGACTTCCAGACCCAAGTCAGGCAGGGTCTGCACTATGCCCCTCATAAGCAGGAAGCAGCTATAGAAGATACGATTCTGCAGCCTTCCACATCCCAGGGAATGGAATCTCTGAAAGGGGAAATGATGTAGGGGCCGGCGCTATGGCATAGCGGGTAAAGCCGCCATCTGCAGTGCCAGCATTTCATATGGGTGCCAGTTCAAGTCCCAGCTGCTCCACTTCCAATCCAGCTCTCTGCTATGGCCTGGGAAAGCAGAAGATGGCCCATGTCCTTGGGCCCCTGCACCCACAAGGGGAAGACCCAGAGGAAGCTCCTGGCTTCAGATCGACACAGCTCCAGCTGTTGCGACCTACTGGGGAGTGAACCAGCGGATGGAAGACCTCCCTCCCTCTCTCTGCCTCTCCTTCTCTCTCTGTGTAACTCTTTCAAACAAATAAATCTCGGAAAGCCTTAACAAGAGGCTTGGTGAGGGAGAATACATAAATAAATGAATCTTTTAAAAAAGGGGGCAGGAATGATATAGGCAGGTATACTGGATTAGGTTTGTGAGCTGGCAGACCACGCCTTCACCACGCCCCCTGTGTAATCTCATGCCCCTTCCTGACCACACCTGTTCACCTACCTGCCAATCAGAGAGGCCTGAAACATGGTAAGTCCAGCTTTTTTCCCCTTTGCCCTACTTTTCCTCCCTGCCCGTAATCCCCGTGCTAGGCGCTCTTTAATTTAACCCAAAAGCTTACTGTGGGTTGAGGCTTGATGCCGTACCGTGCTAAGCAGGGTCAGCTCGCCCTAAAACAAAGGAGGGAGATGGGGTGTTCCCGTGAGACTGCCTGCCTAGCCCATGCAGTTAGCCTGAGTGCTGGCAGGCGGTGGCAGCCCCAGGTACATTTCTCCCCACCCCCACCTTCTGCCAATCAGGTAAACTGCTCCCTGGTGTGGCCCAGGCCCATCTGGAAAGCTACCTTCAAGCCAATTGGAAAGGCATATTGGCGTCAGTGTCGGTTCTGTCCTATAGTTAGTGTTCCCCTTAGTTATGCTCCTTCTACCTGCCCTTCCGGAAGTGTACGTGGCTATGAGTTTAGTCGGACATGTTCACTGAAGAAAAAAAAGGTACATAACCTGCCTGCGGCAGAGGCCACACTGTCCCGTGACAGACTCCAGGAAGGCACCCACGGGCACGCATGCACTTCCTCCTCAGGTGTTTCCTGAGCATCTAATAGCAGCACGCAGGTTCTAGCAGGCAAAAACCAGCTTTTCCCTTCCCTCAAGGAGCTGACATCTCAGGGGAGCAGAAACAAACAAGAGAAGGCACCTCACTGCGGCTATGAAGACAATAAACCAGGGTAATATGGTCGGGCACCACTGTATCTGAGTGGGAGGAGCTCCCAAGGTCAAAAGACCCCTCCAGGAGATGACACTGACACTGACACTGACGGCTTGGGGCCAGGGCTGTGGTACAGCAGATAAAGCCGAAGCCTGCAGTGCCGGCATCTCATGTGGGCGCCAGTTCAAGTCCCAGCTGCTACACTTCCTATCCAGCTCTCTGCTATGGCCTGGGAAAGCAGTGGAAGATGGCCCAAGTCCTTGGGCCCCTGCACCCATGTGGGAGACCCAGAAGATGATCCTGGCTCCGGATTGGCACAGCTCCGGCCGTTGCAGCCAACTGGGGAGTGAACCAGTGGATGCAAGACATTCTCTTTCTCTCTCTCTCTCTCTCTCTCTCTCCAACTGGGGAGTGAACCAGTGGATGCAAGACATTCTCTCTCTCTCTCTCTCCAACTGGGGAGTGAACCAGTGGATGCAAGACATTCTCTCTCTCTCTCTCTCTGCTTAGCTCTCACTTTCAAATAAGTAAATCAATGTTAAAAGAAAAAAAAAACACTAAGGGCTGAACTTGGAGGGGAGGATTCTGGGCAGAGGAATGAAAACATGTCAGGGCCTAAGGGTGGGTCAAGGCACCTCCCCACCCTGCACTCAGGTGTGGAGTCAGGAATCTGGGGGTTCAGCAGCCTGCAGGGGAGCCCTGCGCAGCCCCTTCCTCACAGAAGTTTCTGTGGCCCTGGCTGCGCATCTGTGAGGTGTCAGCAGGCTCCCCGTTTCTGAGGCTCCCAGGCTGAAGTTGGAAACTTTATAACAACTGCGGTGCAGCCTGGCCCAACACCACACACATTTCACCACATGGAAAGTGAGTTAATGTTGTCTGTTTACTGAAACAGTAAGGAAGAGAAACCTTAAGTATTATGTACAGAATTGATAATGTTCCATAATGTCACACACAGAGAGTAAGAATGCACAAGGGCACCAACATCTATACATGACGACGAGATGGGAAATAACTAAAAAGTTGTTGGGGCAACCGTTCAGCCTAGCAGTTACGCTGCCACTGGGGATACCCACATCCCAGATCAGAGAGCCTGCCTGGGTTTGAGCCCGAGCTCCCCTCCTACTACTGTCCACCCTGGGGACAGCAGGTGAGGGCTTAAGTACTTTGGTTCCTGCCACCCCCATGAGCTTCTGGCCTCAGCCTGGCCCAATGCTGGCTGCTGCTGGCATTTGGGAAGTGAACCAGCAGATAAAAGACATTTCTCTCTCTCAGCCTTTCAAAGAGCAACAGAGAGGAAGTATTTGAGCCATTACCCACTGCTTTCCCAGGTGCACCGTCAGGGAGTTGAATCAGAAGCAGAGTAGCTGAACCTCAAACCAGCACTCCAGTATAGGATGCAGGCATCTCAAGCAGCAGCTTGACCCACTTCTCTACAATACCTGCCCCAATAAACAAGTTAATTTTAACTGAAGATGGTCAATTGCAACAAACAGTCTGTTATTTAAAGTCAGTACAGAAGTCAAATACATCAAAGAGATAAAAGTCAAGCAGCTGATTGAGGCTGCCGGTGTGCACAGAGTTCCAAATCTCCCTATCAATGTTCCACCCATCCCACAGTAGGCCCAGGGGCAGCTCCTGAAGTAATTCAGGTCCGACTGAGGACAGAGTGACAACTGCTGGTCTTGATGACCCGGTAGGTCTCTCCCTATTCTGCCATGTTCCTAAGGCCCCCAAAATGCTGAAGGGAATGTTGACACCCGATCCAGGGAAGTAGCCATGGATGGGCCTAAAAGTGGACACTGAACAACCAAAAAAGCACCTGCTGTCAGGTCAGATGTGGACAATAAGAGAAGTCAGAGATAACTCCAGGTGCGGGGTCTGGACAAAGCAATCCAGAGCTGCATTATCTGTGGTAAAGACAGCCAGCGGGGGAGCTAGTGTCATGGTTCAGTGAGTTGAACCGCCCCTTCCAAAGGTGGCATCTCCTACTGGAGCAAGTTTCAAATCCCAGCTGTTCTGCTCCCAAGCCAACTTCCTGTAGAGCCTGGGAAAGCAGAGGAAGATGGCCCAAGTACCTGGGACCTTGCCACCCACATGTCAGACATGATGGAGTTCCAGGCTCCTGGCTTCAGCCTGGCCCAGCACCAGTCCTTACAGCCATTAGGAGAGCCAATCAGCAGATGGAAGATCTGTCTGTCTCTCCCCTCTTTCTCTGTCACTCTGTCAAATAAATACTTTTAAAAAATAAAGGGCATCAGCGTTGTGGTGTAGCAGGTAGAGCCACCACCTGCAATGCTGTCTTCCCATATGGGAAACGGTTCCTGTCCCAGGTGATCCACTTCTGATCAGCTCCCTGCAAACAGCCTGGGAAAGCAGCAGATGGCCCAAGTGCTTGGGCCCCCTACCCACATGGGAGACCTGGAAGAAGCTCTTAGCTTCAGCCTAGCGCAGCTCTGGCTGTTGAGGCCACGTAGAGAGTGACCAGCAGATGAACGATCTCTCTGTTCCTCTTTCTCTAACTCTGACTTTCAAATAAATAAAGACTTTTTAAAAGGGGGTGGAGGCAGTGGGAGGAGCAGGCCAGGTGCAGACCAGGCGTTGAGTTCTGGATATGCTAATAGCAATCACAAACGCCTGTGGGATCTCAGCAGAGATCTGAGTAGAAAGGAGAGAAATCTCAGCTGGAAGGCTACATTTGCGCCACCAGGACGGTGACAGAATGGTGAGCCTCCCCCCTAACTGTGCTGGTTTTAGCTTATTCCTCCCCGCCCTGCTGCAGGCCTGTGCCCTCAGGCTGGTGCACACACAGGCACAAACCTGCGTTCTGGAGAAAAACCGTTCCCCACACTTTTAGAGACCTAGCTCCACACTTCCTCCCGGGGCAAAGCCCTCCGCGGCTGTCTCAGCGTCCGCCATCTGTAATGCCGCTCAAGCGGTCAACCCCAAAGAACACTGTGACAAGAACCCGCGTGTCGGCCACAATGATTCTCTTCTGCGGCTCAGTCTCTTGCAGCTGAGGAATCCCCCCCCCGCTACCCACGGGCCTGGGTTGGACCGCACATCTGTGGGGTCCTGACATCTCCAGTTTCATTTCCGGGATGCGGGGACAGAGGCTACAGTCAAATCCAGGCCTTCAAACTAAGAGGACGGCGAGGGCTTACGAGCCAGGGGACCGGCGGCAGGTGGCACAGGCACATCCCGGTCTAAGCTGGGCTTAGGAATCACACTGGAAGCCCCGCACGCTTCGGGACGCACGGCCCAGGGGACCGTGGTTGAGCGATCCCCTCGCCTGGGCTACCCAAATCGCCCTGAACGAATCCGCGGAGCATTGTCAAGGCTTCGCCGCCCCCGGACTCCCGCCCCGGAACGGGGCTCCCTCTCCCCGGCCAGGCACGGTCGGGGCTCGGGATCCGCAGTTCCAGGAGGGACCGGTGTCGGGCAGGCCTGCGGACGCTGACAAAGCTCGCCGCCATCCCCTCCCCACCACCCCCGCGCCTGACCCCGGCGAGGAGCGGCGGCGGGAGCGCAACGGTCAGCCCCGCTCCCCTCACCTTCTCGATTTTGCCCAGAAAGAGCTTCCAGGCGCAAGCCCCGCTCAAGAGACCTGGGGCACACAGCGCGCGTGGGGTCCAGGCGAGGCCACCAGAGCCCGACACAGAGCTTAACAGCCCGCGACAGCTCACCTCCCCCGCCTCCGCGACTTTGGCTCAGCGCCGCAGCGCCGCAGCTGGTCCGCGCGGCCTGATGACGCCACTGGCCTGCGCCGCCGGCTCTGGGCCGGCTTCCGGTTGCTGCGCGCCCTGGGAGGCAGCGCTGATGGCCTCAGGACTGGGGTCTGTGCCGCCCACGCGGGAGACCTGGATTGAGTTCAAGGCTGCTGGCTTCGGCCTGGGGCCTGGCCCACTCCGCACTGTTGCAGGCGTTTTGGCGAGTGAACCGGCAGAGGGAATGTGTGTCTCCCTCTCACCTCTTTCCCTGTCTGTATTTCTATTTAAAGAAAAACACTCAAATGTAATCCAACCAACCAGTCAACTAACTGATCTGATAATGTGTCAGATCCTGTTTACAGAGATCTCCCTAATTAAGCAAATAGCGCATGTTTTGAAAACACCAAGAAAATGTAGTCAGGCGCTGTGGCATAGTAGGTTAAGCCTCTGGGTGCCGGTTCCTATCCTGGCTACTCCACTTCCTCCCCAGCTCCCTACTAATGGTCTGGGAGAGTATTGGAAGATAGTCTAGTGCTTGGGACCCTGCACTCAGGTAGGAGACTGGGAAGAAGCTCCTGCCTCCTGGCCTGTACTGACCCAGCTCCGACCATTTGGGCAGCGACCCAGCAAATCAAAGATTCTCTCTCTCTCTCTCTCTCTCTCTCTGTCAACCTCTCTCTCTGTAATTCTTTCAAATAAATAAATGTTTAAAAAAAAAAAAAAACAGATGTTTACCCTGGAGTGGAGAGGGAGTGAGTGGAAGAAAGCCACCCCAGAACATAGAATATTCTCGTTCTCACTGGGGAAGAGCAGTGTTGTGAGTCTTCCCTTCAGCTCACTTCCCACAAGAACTGCAGTAAAGGGATGAAAACAAAGACCAGTCATTTATCTTAGACAGAACAGGAGAGGAGACAATGGGTAAGGGCAACTGGACTGCCCCAGTGTGGACAGTTGACGTGGAGTTGAAGGCTGAGACACACGCATGCGTGCATGTGCACACACACATGCACACCCACACACGTGCACTCACACACACATGCACACACAGTTGATCCTTCCAGTTCTCTCTTCTGGCTATGGTCAAGTGGAAATCAGAAATAGAAAACAAGCACTCTGGGCTGCTGCTCCCAAGGTCTCTCGTCCTCATTAGCACGTGGCTGCCCTTGGCTCCAGGCAGCTTAAAAGTGGCTTTGGGAGTCTTCTGCTACCAGTAACTCCTCTGCACCTTGTCTCCTGGGCCACCGGGGCAAGGAGACACCTCAAGGAGCTGTGGGACCCAGGCTGATGCGCGCTGATGCCCACATGGAAGTGCCAGGCAGCGAGCCCAGTGTCCTTCTAGGATAAGGGGCTCACACGCAGGCACCCGAACACTTGTTGCTGGGGATTACAGTAGCCCCGCCTTATCTTCAGTTTCTTTCTGTGGCTTCAGTTACCTGTGGTCCGCTGCAGCCCAAAAACTTTACATGGAAAGTTCCAGAAAAGGGCACTTGGTAGCTTTCAACCTATACAGCCTTCTGAGTAGGGTGAGGACATCTCACGCCATCGCACACTGTACCGTCAGGACACAAATCTTCCCTTTGTCCACACTGTATTTACTCACCTGTTAGTCACGTAGTCACGGTCTCAGATCTCAGGTCAGCTGTTGGGATATTGCAGAACGTGTGTTCAAGTAACACTTTTTATCTAATAAGGACCACAAGGTGCAAGAGAGGTGGAGTCAGCAATTTGCATGGGCCAAAACTAAGCTGCAAAGTGCTTCCTTTAAGTGAAATGGTAAACGTTCTGGACTTCATTAAAAAAGAAAAACCTCCGCCGGCGCCGCGGCTTACTAGGCTAATCCTCCGCCTTGCGGCGCCGGCACACCGGGTTCTAGTCCCGGTCGGGGTGCCAGATTCTGTCCCGTTTGCCCCTCTTCCGGGCCAGCTCTCTGCACCCCATGGGAGACCAGGATAAGTACCTGGCTCCTGCCATTGGATCAGCGCGGTGCGCCAGCCATTGGAGGGTGAACCAACGGCTAAAGGAAGACCTTTCTCTCTGTCTCTCTCTCTCTCACCGTTTAACTCTGCCTGGTCGAAAAGACAAACAAACCAATACCTATACACGAGAAGAGAGAGAGAAAGAAAAACCTCCTATCCTGAGGTTGCTCAATCTACCAAAAGAACGAATCTCCTCTTGGTGGTGCTGTGCGGGAGGAAAAGGAAATCTCGGCTGGTTCTGCTGCCGCATCTCCAATCACAAAATCCACAGCCCAGGGCATGGCACGGGCTCGGCTAACAGGGAGAGGGCACTCGATTATAAGGGTCCCTCAGTCGGCAGTTTCAGGCATCTGCCAGGGGTCCTGGAACAGGTCCTCTGTGCATGCGGGGGGCTGCCGTACCTGCTTTCCGTTTCTGGCTCTGGTGAGCATGGGGAGGAGCCAGGCAGTCAAGGCTGGTCAGAAGGGTTGGGCGGGTGGCAAAGTCATTCCCAGGGCTTCATGGCTGGACCGCGCACAGGCACTCTGACCTCTGACCTGTCTCATTACCAGAACGGGAATGGATGGGAAGGAAAGTCATCTGGTTTGGAGGTCAAGTAGGTTTTTACTTCCCTTACTCGCTGGCAATAAAATCCGGTGTGCATTGGATTCCTGAATGTTGGCGCACAGCCCTTTGCTTCTTCAGACCTGGGAAGGCCAAGGGGGACTTCAGCCATCTGCCATGTGGGGTTTAATCCCAGTGAGCCCTCCCACTGTGGTACGGAGCGCGAAGGCATCGCTGTTTGTGCCGTGTGCATCATGGTCTCTGTGCAAGGTCAAGTGTGCAATGGCTCTAACTGCCCAGTGTCCTTGTATTCAAGGTTGTCTCCCTTGAAAAGTGGTTGCAGTGGACTTGTGGGTACTGGAAAATAGAAGTGGGAGTGGGAAATACTCTGGAAATACCACGTGGGGGTGCACTGAGCTCAGCTTTACACATCCGCCTCCCATTCATTCATTCATTCATTCATCCGTTGCTTTAGTCACTGCCTCACAGAGCCCATGGAACGGAGTTCTGAAGCCACAGGCCCCTCTTCCAGGGCTGCCCCCTAACTTGCCCGGTGAGCTCAAATCCTGGGAAAACCATTCCAGGCAAGGTGATGAGCATTGGCAGGGGGTGGGCAAGGAGCCCTTAGGCTGTTGGGAGGAGGCACCTTTCAGGGCAGAGTTCCAGGTCCAAGACCAGCAGTGAGACGCCCTGTGGGTCAGGACCTGGGGGCAGCCTGCTGAGGCTGAAGAGGGGCTAAGGGGTAGCAGAGACCTGACAGGTCCTTGCACGTCGTGTCCTTCTGCAGGCCTCCCTGGGCAAGGGGTATCAGCAGGAAGTGTGTGTCCTTCTCAGTGCAGGTGTGCAGGAGAAAGCTCACTCACGTGGCATCAGGGTGTGGTTCAGTCCCGCTGTTGCTGTGTCCTGGGAGCCTATGGCCTTTATACAGCCGTGTGCTTTGGCGTCTCCCAGGACCTCCCAGGCCAGGACCCTGCTTCCTCAGCTGTTCCTCGGGGCCCTCAACTGCCACCGCCAGGGCCTTGGTGAGTTCTCGGGAGCCTCTGTGGACTTGGCGTCCTTGAGCCTGACCTCTGCCTCACTGTGCAGGCTTTCCTGGGTGCAGGGTGAGCTCTGAGGCGCTCACTGGTTGCTGGTTGTTCTTCCCTCTTGGGGGCTGGTGGTGGCCTGGTGAGCCTGGGCTCTGGCCAAAGACCAGAAGCTTCTATGCTTTTCTTCTCTAGGGCCAGGCTGGGGTGTGTGTGTGTGTGTGTGTGTGTGTGTGTGCAAGTCTCTGAGATGGTGGAACCTCTGAGTGTCACTGGTGGGTTTTTGTGTGGCAGGAACCAGAAGGCGGATCACCCTCACAGTGGTGCAGCCTGGGACCCCTGCCCTCCCAGCCCACCCATGGAAAAGAGGGTGGTTGAGTAGCGGAGTCTTCACCGGGAACACTGACTGGGCCAAGGGGAGGGGCGTCTCTGAGCCAGAACCCTGGGCCATCAGTGCCTTGGCCTGGGAGGCTGTACCTGGAAGGCCTCAAGGTAGGTACCAGGGGACCAGGAAGGCTGGGGGGATGGGGGGTGGGGGATGTGGCAGAGGGGCTCCCTGGGGCCGCCCCGTGCTAGGAAGCAGCCTGAAGGGGGCACTGTGGCACATGCCCTGCAGACTGCAGCTTTGCTGTGGAGGGAAACAGAGGGTGCTCTTGGTGTGCTGAAAGTTCCAGAACAAATCATTAGGTGAACGAAGCATGGCACAGGGTCATGCCTAACCTCATCCACTTTTGGGGTAACAAGCGGCAAGCTGTATATTCCTCTGTATCATTTCTGCATAGAGGAACAAGGGAAGGAGACACCTTGCGCTATTCCAGTGGGCCCTCAGAGGCAGGAGCAAGAGTCCTTCTCAGTCCTGAGCGTCTGGACCCTAACCTCCGTCTTACCGGACAAGCAACGAGCAAGGAGGAGCAGTCTGAGGTGACGGGGACTGCCCAGGGGAAGTGCGTGAGGGCTGCCTGCTCAGGGAGGAGTCAGTCCCCTCGGCCCCTGGAGCCCTCCCAGGCCTGCTCCCTCCCGGGTCACACTGGGATCTGAGCTCCGGGCAGTGCTTCTCTGTCTTCCAAGATGGCAGCTGCTCCCCCCCAACCCTCTGTCACACTGGCCCAGCCAGGACAGTCTGGTTTCCCCAATCCCCAGAGACTGTTTTAACCTCAAGGATTCTAGCTGTTCCAAGAAGGGTGAGGCCTTTTATCCTTTAACCCAATGAGAAGCCGAGTGAGGTAACAGGTCCTGAATCCATCAGTTTATTACAATGTACACTAAAGCAGAATAAGTAAAAACTAGCAAAAAGAACATAGGAAAAGATGGGCAAAACAGATACAAGACAGAAACTCGATTGCAGAGAGCCAGTAGTGAACCAAATACCAGGCGTCCACGAGGACCTCTTCCAAATGGTCCAGGAAAACACTCCCCTTCAAGGTGCGGCCGGGTGGGTCTGGATGCTGCTGGCTGTCGGCAAGGAAGACAAAGGCCTTGAACTTCAGCAGAGCCTCCAGCGGTGGATGCCTTTTCCAAGGGAATGCTGGGACATCTCAGGAGCCGGACATCTCAGCTTCTAGATGTCAGCCTTGCACGGGAGGCTCAGACCCAAGTTAGCATTTGCGTGTTGTCGCAAGCTGTCAGCGGGCACTCACAGGTCTCCCTGATATGAGCCAGCAGTTCCCATGTGGCTCTGGGCCCCCTGGGCAGAGCAGTGGGCCTCCTGGCTCTCAGCCAGCACCAGGCTCAGTCACGGCTTGTGTTGCGAGGAAGAGCTCAGCATGGAGGGAGGCCGTCAGTGCTCAGTCGTATCAATCACGATCAGAACCCCAACCCAGGTTCACAGGCTCATAATGCAGCAACACACACCCCGCCGCGATCTACCCCTTGAACCGCAATTTCCAAATCACCCTGCCCTTTCTCCTCAACCAAGCTAAAGAGCAAACATCAACAGAGTTCACATTCAAAAGGAAAAGTGGATCCACGCCCGTTGATTGAGGAGGAAGGCTGACATCAGAGCATCCTTAACAGAAAAGTCACAAAAGACCAAACACACAAATCATTTTGTAGTGATAAGGTAGCTTTCCCTAGGTCTTTATGCCATGGTTTGTGGTTACTATCTGCAACAGCTTCGACTGATCTTTAAGCAATCCACTAAGAATTTCAATGGCTCCTGGGGCAGCCGGAGTATAAGGTGGTACATGCTGTGATCCGGCCCCCTGTGGGACTTCTTTAACCACAAAGTGTGCGCTCTGATCAGATTCAGCAGGGTAGGGGTGCCAGCAGAAGCCGGACAGGACTTCACGGAACTGACAGCGTTAGATCCCTAAGCCTGCTCGCTTGGAAATGGGACGCCCAGACCTGAACGGCAGCGGGTACAGAGCAGCAACACTCAGCGTCACTATCACACATGCGAGGGCCTACAGAATCCACCTGGAAGATCCGACTCAGGCCCCGAGAGCCATCTTTCTCGGTTAACTCTTTATGTTTCTCTGGGAGTTTAACCTTCAGGCAGGTTTCACAAGGACTGTTTGTCCACTTAGTTTCCTGCACAGTGATCGGTCTGTCCCTCTGTGGAAGCCAATCAAACACATGAAGTGTATCCCTGTCCTGAGTAGGTCACAGATAAAAGGTCCCTTCTGAGAGCTACTTACAGGACATCATTGCTTCTTGTGTCTGTGTCACTCTCCTGCGAAGGGCAGCTGCTGCACCATCAAAAGCGAGCACACCATTATTTCCCTGGTGAGCTGGGACATGGGCAGTGCAAACGCCTCTGTGCGTGGAGGCATCAAACACCATTCCCATAAGCGTCTGAACCCTAACTCCTTTCCATTAATCTTCCAATTATTTTGTGGCCATTTATTGCACGACAAGGCTATGCTGTGGCAAGTGACCAAAGTCAGTAAAAACACGACTTGGATGTTGGCCTTCTTGCAAAGAGCGCCTCACAGCCCACAGAGGAGACTATGAATCGACGAGTTAGGCACTTTGGGACGCATCTCTTTGCACCAAGGTGCAACCATTCAGAGCACACAGAGCAGCTGCTGTCCGAGAGAGCAGGCCAGAGGTCACGGGGGCGATCCGTCCGTAAACCAGGCATGTGTTAGTTCACGTGACCAGGTGGGACCCCATTGGCCAACAGCACGACCACGGATGTGTCCAACCCTCAGAATTTCCGGCAAGCCAACGAGAACTCTCGGGGTACTTCCCCAAGGCCCTTGTCCTGGCTGACCCCCTGCCTCGGTCTCTGCTGAGTCTGCCCTTTCCAGGTGAGATTTCGCTGTGCGGCTTTCGTGCCCTTTTGTTTGTCCAGGGACGGGTTAACCCCTGTGGGGCAGCTGTTCTCGTCCTTAGTGCCATGGGAGAGTTAGACAAATTAGCCAAAGGCTCGGTAGGCATCAAGGCCTGATAAGCAGTTCAATTCAGTTTTCAGCATATTGAGAACATGATGTGAGGAAGGAGAGTTCTTAGTCCAGACGCTCATGGGAATGCATTTAGTGTAAAAGAGTCCTCACCCCCAAAGAGACCACAAGCCATATCCCTGCCCATAAACAACACCCGGTCTAGAGTTCATATCTTCCTTTAAAAATACAACCTCTGGACTGCCAGTATGTTTGCTTTCAAACACTGGGGAGCTGCTGCTGTTCTACCTTCCACTTGAAATCCTGAGACCTTCCTGTCACACAGGGATGGGAGAGTTCTCCCCTAAATGTGGTCTGCGCTGCCCTCCGACCCCAGAGAACGAACACTGTGAGACTTCAGGGCTGGTCGTTAGCACTCAGTGGCTGAGTTCTACATTGTTCTGGAGCAGTACCAGGGGTCACTCTCCCTCCACCTGTCCACAGGACTCCTAGAATTTTACCAGGTCAGTGGGACCATGAACCACGCCATCATTTATTGTCCAGCCATATTACCTCAAATATTGACAACATTCCCTCTTTGCCTTGGGTAGGTCATCAGAATTGTTTCCTACGACTACACTATCATCTATATCGGAGTAGATTTTACAATCTGGAGATTTAGGTTCAAATTGTCTAAAACACACAGCTTTTACCACGGACTTAAGATACTCATTTGGCAACACAGTAAACAGCTAACCTACTCCCTTAAAGCTGTTTTGAAAAATTAATCTAATGGTAAAGAGACCCCTTCTTCACTGGGGATTGGTTCGCTCCCCAAATGGCCACAACAGACAGAACTGGGCCAGGCCAAAGCCAGGAACTCCCTCTGGGTCTTCCACATGGGCGGCAGGGGACTAAGCACTTTGGGTCATCACCCACTGCCTTCCCAGGAATATTAGCAGGAAGCTGGAGCAGAAGCCAAGAGTTAGGACTGGGACTGGCATTCTGGTATGTGATGCCAGGGATGAAAGCCCCAGCTCAACCCACTGGGCCACAGTGCTGGCCCCTCCTTTTCTCATTTGAAGTTGACCTTTGACTTTCTCATGTTTGGTTTGATCATTTTTCTTTCTTTCTCATCCTTTTGTGTTTTTTTTTCCCTCAGTGTCCTTATTATTTGTTTCTCTCATTTTGTCTTTATAGTTTTCATTTTTCCTCCTTTCTTCACTTTTTCATTTGTTTTTCCTGTCTGCCACTTCTTCATTTCTGTTTTTCATTGTTTTTTTTTCTTTTTCTCTCTCTCTTTTTAAAATAGATTTATTTGAGTTAGAGAGAGAGAGAGAGGGCGCTTTCATCTGCTGTTTCACTCCCCAAATACTCAAAGCAGCTAGGGCTGCACCAGGAGCCCAGAACTTCAATCAGGATTCCCACATGAGTGACAGGGACCCTGGTACTTGGGCCATCACCTTCTGCCTCCCAGAATGCAGTATCAGGAAGCGGAATTGGAAGCACAGAGTAGCCAGGACTTAAACCAGGCACTGCTATATAAGACACAGCCGTCCCTGGTGGTGACTCAGCCCACGGTGCCACATGCCTGCCCTGTCTTTTCTCATTTTAAAATTTTTTGCGTCTTCCTCATTTTTTTCCTATTTTTGCTTTTTTCTCATTTTCTTCTTCATTTTTTTCTTTCCCCATTTTTTCCTTTGCATTATTTTCTCATTTTTAATTTTTTAAAATTTAGATAGCATCATTAATCTCATCCATTACTACTGTGTGAGTAGTTCATATAGTATTGAAGTTACTTATTAGCATTAACTAGCTAATATAGTTGGTGTTTGTCTCACTAGTTAGTATAGTTAGTACAGCTAGCATGCAACTAGTTAGCATTACTAGTTAGTATGTGAAGATAGCGCAGCGAGGAGGTCACCCAACAGAGGGGCATGTGGTCGTTTACTCCTATGAGGAAGTCCTCGCTGGTCATCCCAGGCTCCCGAGGACCACTGGCCTGGGCAGCTCTGGCCAAGTGAAGCTAGCCTGCCATCTGTTAACCAGGCCCGGGTGGCCGTGAAGGTCACCCAGAAACAGGACAGGGACCCTGCAGCCCTCAGCGCTTTCCTGGAAGAGGACTGAGTGCAGTACGTCAATCACCCCGACATGACACGGCTCTCCAAGACAATCGGGAGGGCGGACAGACTGTGGTCACGGGACTCGGCAGCAGACAGCGGCCAGTCCTCTGGGTGGCCGAGCAAGCGCCTGGCAGCGCAGGCCTCAGTTGGTCCCGGAGGACTGTGCCGGCCACGCACTGTTGCCATGGACAGGGGTAATGCGCACAGGGAAGTGGAACCGGGCAGTGTCCTCCTGGATGCCGCCCTCAGTGTTAAACTGACTTCAGCCTGGGATGCAGGGGCTCCGACGGGCAAGATCTCAGCACATCTTGTGGAACTCCCAGTATTGCGCTCCAGAAATGCTCTAGGGCCAACAATACAACCCCTTTAATGCAGACTTGTGGGGTATGGGGGTGACTCTGGCTGCCGTGTTTACGGGGATCTTGCCACTTGATGGAGAGGCCCTGTGCAGCAGCTGGAGTGCACACTCACAGGAAAATACCAGCTTCCCTGTGCTGCCAGCCTAGGGCTGGAAAAGCTTTGGAAGACTTTACTGACATTCAACCCCGGAAAGAGGCCCAAACTAGACCGCACTGTGGGCCGCTGATAGCTCAGCGTGGTCCTGGAAGAAACTCCAAGACCCCGTGCTGAGCCGCTGGCTTGTCACCAGGACCCTCAAATCATGCAAGTCCGAGTCAGCCTGGGCTATAAGCCCAGAGCAGATACAAGAGTCCTTGTCAGAGCATAAATACGACAGTGCCACGGCCACACACCTCGTGCTGTGTCGTGAGATATCCCGACAGAAGGGCCCCAGCATCAGGGCGAAGCCCAGGCTTCAGGCAAGTCCCATCCCTGGCAGCCCCAAAGCTCCACGGAGCTCCTCCGTGCCCCTGAGTTGCAAAGTGCAAGTGGCGCTACGTCTTCCCACCTGCCCGTTTCCCTCCCAGGCCCTGCTGCCTGGGGAGGAGAAGAGTCAGGGCAGTGCACAGGCAGAGGCGCCCCGTGCCTGACAGCCACCTGCTCAGCCTGCAGACACGGACCCCTACTCCCAGGTCAGCCCCAGCCAGGCCCTGTAGCACCCCCTCAGTCCTCCGCACCAGGAGCAGTGCTCACGACACAGAGGAAAGCAATGGCTCCCGTAGAGCACATGCGCACAATTACACCCAGGCCGGGCAGCCAGATGCCTGTGACTTCGGCCACTCCTTCCAGCAAGGGCCAGGGCCGACAAGGGGTCTCTAGAATACAGCAAGGGCTGGGGTGGCAGGGGGGTCCCTAATGGGATACAGCAAGAACCATGGCCAGGAGAGGGTCCCTATGGGATATAAAGGAACCATGGCCAGAGGGGTCCCTATGGGACACAGCAAGAACCATGGTCAGAGGGGGTCCCTATGGGACACAGCAAGAACCTTGGCCAGAAGAGGGCCCCTATGGGAAACAGCAAGAATCATGGCTAGAAGGGGCTCCCAGGGGGATACAGCAAGAGCCATGGCTGCAACAGGGTCCCCAGGGGGAATACAGCAAGAGTCGTGGCTAGAACAGAGTCCCCAGAGGGATACAGCAGGAACCATGGCTAGAAGGAGTTCCCAGGGGCATACAGCAAGAGCCACGGCTGGAACAGGGTCCCCATGGGATACAGCAAGAACCATGGCTGGGGCTAGGTCCCTAGGGGGACTTTCTCCGTCCCTGAAGGGCTTTGCTGCCTGCCATCCGAACAGCCAGGCCATGGATTCTGGGGGAAAGTGGCTCATGTGGAGTCAGTGGACAACTGAGGGCAATCCCAAAGGGCAAGGGTGGTCATGCCACGCTCCCTGAGCTTTTCACATTTGCAAACGCTGCTCGTGAATAAAAATCTTAACTGTATACTGCCGCCCCCCTCAAGCTTATTATCTTTGCACATTTGCAAATATTCCTCATGAATAAAAATCGTAACTGCGTGCATGTATGGGGTCCAGGGAGATGTCTGGGTACGTGTACACACTGTGGAATGGGTCGTACATAGGTGCATCCGTCAACACAGAGGGACAAGTGCTCCCTGATCTCATGTCTATGGGGAATCTAACAGCATCGACCTCGTAGAAAAAGAGAAGAAAGGTGGTTGTCAGAGAGAGGGTGGACGAGGGGTGTGTCCAGTCTACGATGTATCAGGTGCTCAGCGGGAAGAGGCTCTGAGATCCACCCACCCCCCTCACCCCCACCCCCCGCCCAGGAGGCAGACTCTAGTGTCTAATAAGGCAAAGTTCAAAGCAGCTAAGACAGTCCATACCCACTGCCCCGCACATTCCCAGTGGAGAACAAGAGACCCCGAGTGCCACGGGCCCTGACGTCACAGTATGGGGGCTCAGCTGGGTGTGGACGCCAACAGCTGCAGGTGGGAGCCAGGTACGAAGTCCACGCGCTGTGTGCCCCAGAAGCCAGAGGCCTTTATGCAGCAGACCACAGAGCAGGTGTAACAGCCGGGTCTCATCTACAAGGCGTTCAGGTGAACAGGCACCAGCTCCACCCTGGCCTTTGAGGGCACTGGGCAAGCTGAGAGGAGGACAGGGCCTCTCCGCCTCCAGCTGGGGAAGCCGCCAGGAGGGGACAGTGTTTCCTGGGCTGCCCACGCCTCCCCCACTCCTCTCTATCTCCTCTTCTGGGTCTCTGGGGGAGGGGCTATGGCTCTTAGTGAATGGCCCTTTCTTCCGAATCTTACAGTCAAATGGATCCACAAAGACGGATCACGGAGGTTTTTCATCCTCCGGGCAGAGACAGGTGCTGTCTCACTCCAGTCTGAGCAGGTCTCAATGAGTACTTGGAATTCATTCAAAAACATAAATGGAAAAGTGGCTTCAGAGAATTATCACGGGAACCGCCAATAGCAACAGAGGAGTCACAGTGGTCCCCAAGGGATACGGCTCAGAGCCATACGCAGGGCAGAGATGCAGGCTCTGTGTGCCACCTCCCAACACTCTCGTGACCTGGGTACTGTCTTCAGAAGGGCCCGTGGGACATTTGCTCCTGCTAACACATGCTCATCCTGCCCTGAGGCCCACAGCACAACAGGATAAAGTGGTCCTGTGGACTAGCTCGTGTGTCGGGAGTCTGAGAGGTGGCAAGGCCACGGCCCCTAGGGGGCGCTCGGCTGTGCTGTGCTGCTGAGTTCCCTGGGTGACAGTCAGGGAGGTAACATAGCATAGGGACGAGAATCCACCTTCAGCCAGGGATGGCTGGGAGAGGCCTTAAAGAGATTCAACAGATACACTCACACAGCCCCTAACACATGTCCTACTGGGTGCCTCAGCCAGCCAGGGATATCTGGAGGGAACTCCAGAGATGGGCTGTGGGGTCCCAAACCCCCAGGAACAGCTGCTAGATGCAGCATGTGGGTGACCAGGACTAGAGGCAAAGCTGCAGTGCAGAGGGCTCCAATGTCCATACGGCAGCAGCCACTGGAACCGGGCAGAGAAGCCCAAGGGAGAATGTTCTGGGTGTGGGAGGCCGGGACACTGGTGCAAGGACTGTCCCCACCCGAGAAGCCCACCTGGCCCCTGGCCCCACTGGAAACAACAGGGCGCTGGAAACCTGCTCACGCGCAGTTCCTGGGGGACAGGAGGAGTCCCGGTTGCCTCGTGTCCTAATGCAAGGACTGATGGGGCCTGGGAACTCAGGCAGCTCCCGCAGCCCTCGGGAGCACCCCGCTCCCGGAAGTGGCAGGTAAGAAAATCGATTTTCTAATTGACGCAGGTGCCAGTTCCTCTGCTGGGGCCCCTGTCCTCAGAGTCGTGTCATCACGGGGGCTGATGGCAAGCCCCTCTCCCAGCAGGTCACCTGGCCTCTGCCTTGCCAGACGGAAGATGCCGTTGTCTCCCACCAGCCTCTGCGGGCGCTGGCAGGTCTGCGACCCTCTAGGGGCGCTTTCTCAGGGCAGCCATCCTTACACTGAAATCTGTTATTAGCATACTAGTGAGTACCAACACAGCACCCAGCAGGAAGGACTAACAATAGATAGACAATGGCCTCACCTACAGTCACTCCAAGGAGGACTCAGTTGAAAATACCATTCAGATCTTAACGCTTTTAGGGGAATGGCGATATCAAGTTTTCCCAACCAAAACCCGGATCTCCCCATGGGAAGCCACACTGTGTATTGGGCTACCACCTACAAAGCGACAGCCGAGAACAGTCCTGTGAACAGCCGGCTGCTGCGGGAGCTGGATGCCAGGATTCAGGCTGATAACCAAACCCCTGAGAGAGGTCTTAAAGGCTGCTGAAACTGACCCACTGGAATAGACAGGGAACTAACACGGGGCCTTTCAACAGGCTTAGGGTCAGCTGACAACGGCCCCTGCACTGGGGATACCTGAGACAAGTCATTCTCCCCACTGGTAGCTGAAAGGAACAACCTGGGGGTACTCACCCCAAAACCGGGCCCATTCTGTGGCCCCTGGGCTACCTTGCTAATCAACAAGACTCAGGATGGCCTGGATGCTCGGTTGCTGCTACCGCACTTTCGGTGGAGAAAACCACGGACTCTGGGCCTCCTGAAGCTCACACTGCATGCCAAGGAGGAGGGGTTCCAGAGACCACAGGCGCCCGTGGCTGACGGGGGTGGGGGCCCTCACTGACACCGGGCTCTCCATTTTGGCTCACCAGGGTTCACTCTCGAAGGACGCCAAGGCCTCGACCCAGCTGCTCCCCTGGATTCCGAAGACTCTGAGAGACGAGCTCACTCTTGCATAGAGACCATACAGCAAGACTCCGCCCCTAGACCGGACCTACCAGATGCACCTCTGCAAAGCCCGGATGTTGAATGGCTCACCGATGCAGGAGTTGCACGAAGGAAGGGGTTAGAAAGGCAGGGTATGCCATAGAAGACCTTACTCAAGTTACGGAAGCCTAGGCACTATCGCTCAACATCTCGGCTCAAAAGGCCAAACTTACCACCTTGCCTGCAGCCTTCAAACCGGCAAAAGGCCAGAGACCCAATGTCCACACCAATGCGGACTACACATCCCTGGTGCTACCTGCACATACAGTGATTTGGAGACAAAGAGGCCCGACGACTGTGAAAAACTCCCCCGTTAAACATGGCCAAGAGACCCCGGCCCTCTCCCTGTCTTGGCATCTCTGGAGGTGGCTGTAGTTCACTGCAGGGGACACCAAAATGGCAACCATTCCACCCGAGGAGATGGACTGGGAGAGCAGAGGGCTGCGGCTGGGGAGGTTCCGCACGAGTGGCTCCAACACCCCGGCCTCTACAGGGTCGGCAGCACCTGCTACGGAGCCCTCTCCAGCCACGCCCCGCACGCACACCTCCAGAGCAGAGACAGCCCCGCCCCTGCTGCCGCCCGCAGCTCTCTCCTCTGAGCCGGCCGGCGCTGCTCCACCTGGCGTGTAAACAAATCTCCCTCCTCCGCTGACCTTTACCCGTGTCCCATCCTTGCAATCCTTCTTGCATTCGAGACAGGAGCCCGGACCCAAGCACCCCACGACGAAGAGACTGATAGCGAGGACTCCAGGGCCGGGGCGGGGGGCGGGCTGCCCACCTGCTTCGTTGATGCTCCCATCCTGCGCAGCCTGCAGGGCGCGTGCAGGGAGCGGGAGCTCTAGCACGTGTCGTAAACGTTCATCTTGTCGGGGCGCTGGAACACAGGTGCACAGGTCCTCTCCCCCCGCCCCCATCTCTCACCGGTGGGAGCCTCCACACCGCCTTGCCCCTCAGAGCCGGTGTCAGGCTTTGTGTCTTCATAGAGAATTCACGGAAGCCAACAGATCAAGAGAAGACTGCTGAGAAAAGAGAGCTGGGGACTCACGGTTCCCGAGAAGAGGGGCCCACACCCCGCGCAGGGCCACTCAGGGCGGGGCGGCGGGCAGAGGGACAGGGGCCTGGGGTCAGGAGCTTCGTGGTGCTTCTCCAGGAAGGACTGGTGAGGCGGAGCGAGCAGGCACAGGAGGGGCCGCGTCCTATAACGTCAGGGCCCTGGGCAGGGCGCCCCCTGCTGTCCGGTCCTGCCCTGCGGAGATCAGGATCCCCCCCCACAGACCCTGATCCAGGAGGCGGTTGGGGCTCTGTGGATTGCATTTGATTCCTCCTGCTGGTGGGGATATGATGGTGACAAGGGAGCAGGAGGCCACAAGGTGGCTCAGACCTGCGGTGGGCCTGTCCGGGACAAGGCGCGCCCTCCATGTGCACAAGGGCAGATGCTAAAGCTTCCTGGGCAGCAGCAAGCAACGTGGCCAAACCAAGGGCTCAGCTCAAATGCCACCTCCTCAGGGACGCCCTCCCTGCCTGTGCCACTACAGGGACAGCTTCCCGCACCCCACCTCTCCCTCCTGCTTACCCACTCCATCCCCTGCCCCTGCCCCTGCCCCTGCCCCTGCTCCGCTCAGCGCACCTGCCGTGGCTCCGACCTCACCCAGAGCAAAAGTCCTCAGGGCGGCCACAGGGCCCGTGTGTCCTGGCATGTCTCCGCTCACGGCGGCTGCAGAGCCCGTGTGTCCTGGCGTGTCTCTGCTCCCACCCTTGCCCCTCTCTGCCCCCAGCAGCCCCAGCCCCGCACTCCCGTCCCCTGAGCCCGACTCTGTCTCTGCAGCCTTGGGCTCTTCTGTCGCGCTGTCCTGTCCACTGTGCGTCCCCTCGAGCGTCAGCTCCACAGAACAACAGGGTTGCTCTCCTGGTTCTCAGGCCTCACCCTGCGTTGTGCCGGCAGCCCAGGGCAGGGCGCGGCACACAGCAGGGGCTCCGTCCACAGTGAGTGAACAGCTCTTACCTCCACCTGAGATGTGGTCTTTGTGGTCTGCCGCCCTTGCTCACGGAGGCCCTGCTGCTGCCAGCCAGATCCAAACACCAGGGCCCAGCAGCGAGTGGAGCAGGCCGGGGTCTCCATCCTCCTGGGCCCGTGGCCTAGTGGGAGAGACAGAGCAAACCTATCAGTGGTGCTGTGGACCATGGAAGGTAAAGTGACGAAGGACCTTCAGACCCCTGGAAGTCACTGGGAGAGCAGCAGTGCCATGGGCAGTGTTCCAGGCCAAAAGAACAGCAAGTTCGATCTATTAATTCAGCTAATTCTACTCCAGTGACTTGAGAGTAGAGAGAGAGGTGCAGGTGGGTCAAGTCAGCAGGTATCCTCTGAGTGGCCTCCCTGGGCCCAGTGTTGTGTCCGGCGTTAGGGGCTGTGATGGCCAAGATGGGGTGGACACCTGGATGCCCCACCGTCCTCACCACCCCCTCTGCACTCTCAGACTGCACACCCACCTCAAGCTCCAAACCAGCGACCTGCACACTTCTGCTAGACTCTGTGGCTGGCCTTTCCCAAAAGGCTGCCATGCGTGGTACCCAGCAGGCCTCGTTCACCAGGGTCACCCTGCTGAAGCGCCTCCCCGCCTCCCAGGCTCCTGGGAAAGCTAAGCAAAGCCCAGGAGCCCTGTGTTCCCTTGAGAAGCCAGGCAAGTGGAGTCACGTGGGGCATCTCATGCCCTGCCTTGGGCCTGTAGCTTCCCATGCACAGGCCCTGATAGCCCAGGAAGTCAGAGACAAGCCTTCCTGACTTGGGGAGCTCCTGGTCACGCAGGAGACTCCATTTCCAGGTGGTCCCAACAAAGAACAGAGCCCCTGGTCACTATGTTCGAGCCCCAGGGCCAGGTTTACAAACAGCTCTGTTGCTTCAGGGCTGGGGTGTGTGGGCTACAGGGCCCCTCTGCTGTCTGGGTGCCATCCAGCACTGTGCGCCTCCTGGAACAGGGGGCCGGCCTGTTCAGGTGAAGTACAGGTTTTGCCACTAGTGGCTTGCGTTCCCTGGCCATCAGGACACAGAGTCCAGCACTGCTGTCCCTTGAAGCCTAAAATACTCACTCTGGGCTTTTACAGGGAGTGAGTGGGACACCTCACCTCGCAGTGACAACAGCAGCAGGAACTTGTCCTGCGTGGGTGTTATTCCAGGCTGGCTCCTGAGTTTCCCCTCTGTGAATCCTCCCCAACACAAAGACGGGGGGATTTCAATACTCCTGGTTACAGATGAGAAAATAGACTCTTCGGACTGTGCTGATGTGATGGCTGGAGTAGGGGCAGCCATACATCAGCCATGAGGGAATGAAACCAGCATTCTGTCAGTAGTATGGTAAAGAGGTGGGTGGCACCTGGGCCACTGAAGACACCATTGGGTGATCAGACCACCCTGGCGCTGCCCACCCTGGGCCTCCCTTCCTTTCCACCATCATGAACACCACACTTGAGATGCCTTTGTAGTCTCAGCCACTCCGTAGGGCTTTCTGTCCCTTCAACCTCACACATTCCTAACCAAATCAGCTTTGGAGACTGCATGACTAATTCTCTGCCCCAACCAGTTCCCCAGAAGGCTCGGGGCTCTGGTCCTGTCCCCTTTCACACATGGAAGCAGCTCAGGCCTGCTGTCTCCCGTCAGGCAGTGTCTATCTGTCTGCTTGTCTGTGAGCACCTATGGCACAGGCTGCCTCATCTTGTCTGTGCACCCAGAGTCTGCACACAAGGGCCCTCAGCACACCTCAGGGACCTTGCCACACCTGCCGCATGGCCTGAAGCCCCCAGCCATGCGAAGTCTGGGAACTTCCGTGGCCAAACTGTCAGATCTCACCTCTGTGCCTTTGGGAATGGAGCCGCCGACTTCCTCCAGCTTGGTTCTTCCTATAGCAGCCACGGAGCCAGGATGCAGAGGAGAGAGCCCACGAGCTGGGAGCCAAGGCAAGTGAGGAAGGGAAGACGGACACATCCTGTTCCACACTGTGCTCTCTGCGCATTCTGGAAAGATCTCTGGCATGCCTGTAGGGAGCAGGGTCTCAGAAACCCCACAGTGAGGACCTGGCCCCAGGTCTGCTGGGGGTGGGGAGAAGCCTATGCCCCCCCACCCCGTGAATAGGGGACTGCCCATGAGCATGATTCTGTCATTGCCAAGCCAGGCCAGGGCACTGCTCAGAATAGAAAGAATTCATGAACGAGATTGGCACCACGCTCTGTCTCCCTTCAAAGCAGGTGATTTTCTGAGTTTCCCAGCCCGCAAGCGGCCAGAGCCTGGGTTTGCAGTCCAGCTCCATGTGTGCTAGCTCCGGCCTGGTCTTCTCCCTTCTCTGAGGCTCGGTTTTTGTCCTCCATAGGGGAGATGCGGGCTGTTGGCCTAACGTGTTAATCCTCTGAGGTTTCACATGGTTAACGCGAGCAGTCCAGCCTGCATCGGGCTCTCGGCAAATGTTGTCTGAATCCACTGGGTCTCCAGTGAATGCCCTGTGGGTGTTCATTTTGGAGTTTTGTGGGGTGCTCAGGAAGTTGGGTCTGGTGCTAGCCTAAATCCTCCTGTTCCAGCTCCAAGGGACACAATTTAGCCAGCCACCAGGAATACTCAGAACCCTGCAGATGAACAGTGACAAGAAGCAGGTGGCAATTCGGAGTGGCTCTAGGAAACGAAGCAGGCAGAGCGAGCACAGGAAGCAGGAAGTGGAACGGCAGGTGGCATCAGGCAGGGCCGTACCTGGGTGCTGGACGATGTCCCCAGGAGTTGCCTGCCCCGACCTCCTGGCTGTGCCTACTCCCTCTCAAGTGGATTTTCCCTTCAAGATGGCGCCGTGGGCACCAACTGTCTCAGCAGCCCAACAGTCACGGAGCTTCTCCTCCCCCAAGGTTCTACCCCTAAGACCAACCCATGAGACCTCACTGGTCACTTGCCCAGACCTTAGCCAATCTCTGGGCTGTACTGATTGGCCAGCTCCTGGTCATGTGACCACTCTCTGCAGGCTAACTTGGGAGGTGCTTGCTCTGTTTCCAGGTAGACTTTGTGATGCCTGAGAGAGCAGGGTTAAGGGTTGAGCCTCTGGTCCTCCGTGTTCAGCTCCTAGGAGGTGCCTGCTCGTACCCTCCTCACATACCCTCCTGTCTTCTGTTTAAGAATCTACAGCAGTAACTCTCCCCTTCCCGACTTGTTTTCATCCCTACCAAAAACAGAGCAAGATTCGGGATTGAAGCTGGAATTTGGGATTCACTCCCAGCTTCAAGGCTGTTCCTAGTCCTCTTTTCATCAGTTAGTCACTGTGAATGTATTTCCCATGGGTCCAGTGTCCAAGCTGTTTAAATCAAGCCATTACCTTAAAAAGATACCTGATAGAAACTTTTTTTTCTTGGAAGTGAGGAAACACCATAGAGGTCCTTCTCCCGTTACAGAGGGGAGAGGAAATACATTTGTCCTATAGCTGCTCGCTGGCCTTGAGTGGAACATGTCAGCCAGAGCAGGCATCTCTCTTCCATCTGCACACCTGCTTGGTCTCTCAGTGGTGGACTACGATGGCATCTTTGACCCCCCTTTGCTCTCACTCTTGGTCAACCCTACCAACACCTACTTGGGCATCCTCACCTCCCTGTTCTTTGCAGCTCTGTCTTTCCCTTGTGTCCCTCCCGTGACTCTGTCCCTATCTGCACCCACTTTCCTGTCTCCTCTCCAGCCTGACCTTCCCATCACCACGTTGACGCTGGCACGTCACTGCTCTGTAACTGTCCATGGTTGCCCAGTGCCTTAGGGAACCAGGTGCCTTGAAGACCTTTTATAATCCGCTCCCCCCGGCTCCTTTCCTGCTAAAACTGCCACCTTCACATCCGGATGCACCTCCTGGTCCCTGAAGACACCACGCTCTTCCTCGTGAAAGGGCTGCCTGCAGGCAGGTGGCCATCCCACCAGCACGCTCAGTCCCCTCTCTCCATGCATCTCATCTGTCCTTCAACACTGAATGAACTCACACCCATCCCCCTACAATGTTGCTGTAGCTTCTGTTACCTCCATCCATTCCCTCCCTCCCTCCACTGGTTAATGGTTCTTCACACACTTGCTTGCTGTCACATGGGTTTAAGATCCCCTCTTGATAGAAATGAAAGGCATAGAGGGGTTCATTCCCTAGATGGACTCTTTGCTGCTGAGGGCCAAAAAAAAAAAAAAAAAAAAAAAAAAAAAAAAAAAAAAAAAAAAAAAAAAAAAAAAAAAACAAAAAACCAGTGACAAAAAACAGGTGGCAATTCAGAGTGGCTCTAGGAAATGAAGCAGGCAGAGCGAGCACTGGAAGCAGGAAGTGGAACAGCAGGTGGCATCAGGCAGGGCCGTACCTGGGTGCTGGACGATGTCCCCAGGAGTCGCCTGCCCCGACCTCCTGGCTGTGCCTACTCCCTTCAAGATGGCGCCGTGGGCACCAACTGTCTCAGCAGCCCAACAGTCATGGAGCTTCTCCTCCCCCAAGATTCTACCCCTAAGACCAACCCGTGAGACCTCATTGGTCACTCTCTCTGACCCACGTATTTGAGTGTCAGATTCCTCATCCATAAACTGAGGTCAGGCTTGGTGGGGGGGAGGGGCGGGGCGGGTGGAAAAGGCAAAGCCTTCCTTAAAGTAAAATGCAATGCTTCACTTGGACATCACAGGTCAAGTATATAATGGTCTTATTTAAAGAAGCCATTGCCAGAGGGAGGCTGAGAACCTCTTCCAGAATTGTGTGTGGTTACTCTCTGCAGGTTCCTGCTTATGGTAGCTGCTTCCAAGGCAGCAATTCCAGGACAGCAGGGACCTCATCTATCTCACCCATTGCTGTAGCCCCATCATGGGAAAGAGACTGTCACATAGTAGGTATTCAGTAAGTGTTTTTGATCCACTGAGTTGACAACCCTTTTTTCTCCTGCCTGGTAGAGGAAGTGAGAACTTTGGATTTAAGTCATAGAAATTGCTCTCATTGGGCAGAAAGCCAACACCATCCAAGAAGAGTGAACCAGGAGGATGAACTAGAAAACCAAGACGAAGCAGGCGAATAGCCCAAGCCTCTGCAAAGGGAGTGGAGGTGAGCTTTTGGAGTGAGCTGCGAGCAAGGCCGGGGCAGGGAAGGCCGGGGATGTGGCTGCAGGTGCAGTGCGTGAGCACTGGTTCCTTCCTGGGCATCAGCCACTGCTGCGACTGCTGTGCTGTGAGGCTCACTTTGCAGGGTGGATTCCTTTTATTTGTTTGTGGGATGAGCACTTGGCATAGTGTTTAATATGCTACCTGGGATGCCTGCATCCCATGTCAAAGTACCTGTGTTCACGTTCCAGTTCTGCTCCTGATTCCAGCTTTTTGTTCATGTGCACCCTGGGAGACAGCTGGTGGTGGCTCAACATCTGGGTACCTTCCACCCAAGTGGGTGACCCACAGTGAGTTACCAGTTCCCGACTTTGGCCTGGCCCAACCCATCTGTCTTGGCCATGTGTGGAGGGAACCAGTGGAAGTGATCTCTGCCTGTCTGTCCCTCTCTTTCTGCAAATCAGGTAATAATAACAATACTTTTTGTTTTGTAACCTACCAAAATCTTTTCTGACTACAGAAGTTCAACATGTGGTTTTTAGAAAACTGAGTAATTACAGAAAAGTATGGAACAAAAAACCCTATCAGTCCAGGAGCAATCTATCACCAGGAGCAATCAATGTAACATTTTGGTCACCATGTTATGGCAAATTTCCTTGATACTGTTCGAAGGCTTTTTACATTCTGAGGTAGTAATATATCATCATGTGTACTTCTCTATTTCCTTTGAAGCTCCCAGTACATTTCATTTGTAGTGACTACAAAACTGTTCGCTCACTGACAGCAATGTCCTCTACTCAACTATTCCCTGTACTTGGGAACGTGGAAATCTCCAGAGTGTTTTCAACAATCTCTCAACAGTGGGCAGGTGGGTCATTTCGTGAGGAGTAGACTTTCTTCTTCCTTTTTTCTCTTTAGGAAGTTGTGAAGGGACTGGAGGCCTCTTCTTGCCTCTGTTTTTCCAAATAATCAGACTCATGTTCATCATCCAAGCCCTCCATTACCATGACCAGGCCTTTTGTACTGAATATGTCCCACGGGCCAAGCCTCTGCCTAGAGGCCGACATTACAGCAGTGTCGGGGACCTTCATGTCTAAGTGAACAGGCATGGAGACATCTGCTAATAGTTCCGGATTCTTGCACAGCTTGAAACTTCTTCCATGAACTGGGAGGGGTGGGAAGAGTTGGTTACAACAGATGATCTTTCCACACTCTGGTCAGGTGGGAACTGTCGTTTTTAACGGTGGATCCCCTTTCATACTTGCTCTAAGATAAGTCATGGAAGATTCTTCAGTAATTCCAGTTACGCTGGAGCTCAGGCAGTCCAGCGGAAGTGAAAGGAACAGCAGAAGGGAAGTCTGTGTTGATGAGCACATGGCACAGATGAGACAAGGAGTTTCTGCATACTTGTTTTTTTTTTTTAATATTTATTTTTCTTATTTTAAAGACAGAGAGACGGGGGTGGGGGGGAGGTCTTGCATCAGCTGGTTCACTCCCCAAATGGCCACAACGGCCAGGGCTGAGCCAATCCGAAGCCAGGAGCCAGGATCTTCTTCCAGGTCTCCCACATGGGTGCAGGGGCCCAAGGACTTGGGTCATCTACTACTGCTTTCCCATAGCAGGGAGCTGGATCAGAAGAGGAGCAGCTTACTTGAACTGGCACCTTTATGGGATGTTCGCACTGTAGGCCAGGGCTTTAATGTGTTGTGCTACAGCGCCGGCCCCGTTTTTTGTTTGTTTGTTAAGATTTCTTTATTTGAAAGGCAGAATTAAAGAAATAGAGGTCTTCCATCTGCTGGTTCACTCCCCAAATTGCTGCAACAGCCAGGACTGGGCCAAGCCAAAGCCAGGAACTAAGAGCTTCATCCAGTTCTCACACGTGGCTGCAGGGGCCCAAGCACTTGGGCCATCTTCTTCTGCTTTCCCAAGTGCATTTGCAAGGAGCTGGATTGAAAGTGGAGCAGCCAGAACTTGAACTGGTAACCATATGGGAAGCTGGCATTGCAGGTGGTGGCTTTACCCACAATGCCACTGGCCCCTCTGCATCCCTTGTTTTGTCTTCTTTTATCTTCATGACAGTCACTTTGTGAGTTGTCCACAGGGTTCTTGGGGAAGCTGAGATCCCCACTCACACCCCCTAGCCTTCGAGCCTTTCCTGCTGTGAGCGCAGAGAGCTGCTCTGTGAGCCTCTGGGGTCCTGAGAAGGGTCCGGAGCAAGACTTCCTGGGAGCTGTGGGGCAGGGGTCATAGGGTTGGGCGGGGACCGGAAGCCCAGCTGGTGGTTTGTGGGGATGAGATGAAGAGGCTGTGTTATTAAACATGTTTTTAGCCCTTGCCTCTTTCCCTGCTGCACCATGGTCTTTTTTGCTTTTGATTTGTTGAACTCTTTATTTAGTAGGGACATTAAGCCTTTGACCATAATGTCAACTAAAGATATGTTATTTCAGTAGGTTGGAAAAAAAAATCTTGATTTTTGAAAATTGTTTTCACCTGCAGTTGACAGATTTGGGAAGAACTGACATTTTTACACCAGCAAGGTCTCCTCTCCCTGATCATGGTATATTCTCTCACTTGACTGAGATGTTTACAGGGTCTCCTCACCACATCCTTGGGGGCTAACTGTTGCTGTCATGCCTGATCCACTAACGAGGAAACTGAAGTTCACAGAGGTTAAGTGACTTTCAAGGTCATCTGGGAGCTGGACCTGTTACTAAAGATAAACTCATTAAGTTAAGGGAGTGGTTCAGGGGTCAAGCCAGCCCCATGGGGCTCCAGATTACAAGACTCAGAGTTCATTTACTGATTCCATAGATAATATCTTGCATTAGGTGTTTTAAGGAACCTAAGGCCCTGAGCAAACAACATAATAACTGCCTATGGCGAGACCCCAGACAAGCCAGAGTCCACCCTGCCATCGCGGCACCCCCAGGATTACACTGACCCCCCCGTCACTGACCAGTCAAAGGAAGGCCACCAGCACTGCGGACCAACAGAGGCCTGCATGCAATCGGATCACGCATCTCAACTCCAGCTTCCATCCTTAAGACTACTTTCCCTTAATCCCTCCGGGAGTCTTGGGTATTCAGCCTTAGCTCTCCAACTCCTTGCTTTACACTTTGCAAATAAAACACCTACTTCCGCCTACCTCCCCAGTGTCCATGACTGGCTAACCACACAAGGCAAGGGTGAATCCAGACTTGATCTTGCCTAAGTACTTCAGAAAGTCTGTCGAAAAGTGAAATTAAAAGATAAGTTTATTTTGGGGGGCCAGCGCTGCAGCATAGTGAGTGGGTAAAGCTGCTGCCTGCAGGGCCAGCTCCAGTTCACGTCCCAGATGTTCCACTTCCGATCCAGCTCTCTGCTATGGCCTGAAAAAGCAGAAGGCCCAAGTCCTGGGAGACCTGGAAGCAGCGCCTGGCTCCTGGCTTTGGATTGGCCCAGCTCTGGCCGTTGCGGCCATTTGGGGAGTGAGCCAGTGGATGGAAGACCTCTTTCTGTTTCTTCCTCAACCTCTCAAATAAATAAATCTTAAAAAAAATTATTTTGGCTCTAAAATTTTTTTTTGAAATCCACACATAGTTGTTTTGTAATAAGGATTTTCAGGAACTTTTTTTTTAAGATTTATTTTTTTGAAAGTTAGAGTTACACAGAGAGAGGAGAGGCAGAGAGAGAGAAGTCTTCTATCCTGTGGCTCACTCCCCAACTGGCCACAACTGCGCTGATCCAAAGCCAGGAGACAGGAGCTTCCTCCAAGTCTCCCACGCAAGTGCAGGGGCCCAAGCACCTTGGGCCATCTTCCACTGCTTTCCCAGGCCATAGCAGAGAGCTGGATTGGAAGTGGAGCAGCGGGGACTAGAACCGACACCCATATGGGATGCCAGGGCTTTAGGTCAGGGTATTAACCCGCTGCACCACAGCGCTGGCCCCATCAGGAACTTTTTGAAGATCCCTTGTATACCTTAATTTTCAAAAACTTTTTGCACAAAAGATAAATTTATATTTTAATTTTACTTCCATTAACGTTTTGAAGCCCCCTCATATTTTGATGATCTGTTATTAGGTGTGTAGATGTTTAGAAATATTTTATCCTACTGTGCTGAATCTTATATTAATATAATATATAATTAATATAGTCTTTATCTCATAAACTTTTGTTTAAAGAAGTACCTTTAGCCGGCGCCATGGCTCACTAGGCTAATCCTCCACCTAGCGGCGCCGGCACACCGGGTTCTAGTCCCGGTCGGGGCGCCGGATTCTGTCCCGGTTGCCCCTCTTCCAGGCCAGCTCTCTGCTGTGGCCCGGAAGGCAGTGGAGGATGGCCCAAGTGCTTGGGCCCTGCACCCGCATGTGAGACCAGGAGGAAGACCTGGCTCCTGGCTTCAGATCAGCACGGTGCGCCGGCCGCAGCAGCCATTGTGGGGTGAACTAACAGAAAAGAAAGACCTTTCTCTCTGTCTCTCTCTCTCACTGTCCACTCTGCCTGTCAAAAAATAAAATAAATAAATAAATAAATAAAAGTCTAAGATATGCCTCACTGAAGCACAAAATACATTCGTTAAAAAAAAAAAAAAAAAAAAAAAAACAACTTGCGACCATACCTCTCCAGCTCCACCCAGTTTGAGTTACTGATGTCACAAAGTTGTACCGGTAGGCACTGTGTGCCCTAGGGATGGATGGATGGATGGATGCAGGCAGAACTGAGAAAGTCGTCTCTGGGCACAATTTTACCTGGGGTGTCCTCTCGCCTTCCTGTAACATCTGTAAGGCTTTTACTTAAATGGCGTTTTTGCACCTCCTGCAGACTGAGCCACCTCCTTTGCAAAGGCTTCTTGCAGTCTTTGGAGGCTGACTTAGAAATTCTCTGCATTTTTAGCGGCGTCGTGTCAAATCAGTGGGTCTCCCTGCCGCCTCTCCCAGGGCCCGCTCTGGCACGCCTAACCTTTGAAGCGCTTTCCTCTCGCCTAACCGTCGAAGTGCTTTCCTGCGTTCTGCAGGAGGCAGCCGGAGAGCGGCGCCCCGCGGGCTCCGGGGCCGCCCCTGCCTGTGCTCTCAAGAGCAACTCTTCCTCCATCACCACCATACCTGCACCACCGTCGCCACAGGGCCGCGGGCCACGACGACGAGCACAGGCCGCCCCACCTTCGGCCGCCCCCTACACCTGCCCTTGGCCAAAGGGGAAGAGGAGGGACACGCGCCCGGCCGCAGCCACTTCCGGAAGTGACGTAGGAGTGTCAACATGCAAGATGGCGGCCCATCACCGGCAGAACACGGCCGGGCGGAGAAAAGTGCAGGTACGGGATCCCTGCTTCTCGGCCCTCCGGACGCGGCTGCTAGCTCCGGGTCCGCTTGCAGCGAGCGGGTGCCTGCGATTGCGGCCGGCCGGGGCAGCGCCGCGGGGCCAGGGGGGTGGAGCGTGGCCGGCGGCGAGGGGTGGGGCCGCGGCGTTAACGGCTTGAGGAAGGGGAGTGGGTGGCCGATCTGGTGGCTGGGCTGGGTCCGGGGGTGCTGGCTCGTGGTTTCCTCGACTGCTGGTGCCGCTGTCCCGCAGGAATGGGCTTGCGGGGTCCGCATGGGCTCCTTCCCCGCCCACCTGCCGCCCCCTTCCCCTGCCGTTCTCGGACGCGCTCTGCCCGGGCTGCGTCCGAGCCGAGGCCTCCGGGCGGTTGGGGGCGGGTGGGCGGCGGCGGCGGCGTGGGTGGCGGGAGTGGGCCTGTGCGGGGGCGTGGCGAGGCGGCCGAGCGGGGTGTCTGCGGAGGGCTCCGCTCCTGGGAGCCCCCGGTCGCTTCTGGAGGGCGCTTTCTGCCAGGTGAGGTGGAAACGGCGTGGGTGTCTGTTGATGTTGTGGGCAGGTTATAATTTTAATTATTTCGGCATTTAATTTCATCTTGTTACTTCATCTTCACGGTGCATCTTCGGGTCGTTCATGTGTCTGTAATTTATTATCCTAACTGCCGGGTGTGCTGTATGCGTTCCGGAGTTCACTTTGGTTTGGAGTACGTTTAAGACTCGTGGGTATCCATTATTTTCAGCGATGCAAGGAGTGAAAGCCCACAGATATATTGTATGTGGTCATGGCATGTGATGCATTTATTAAATAAACATTAATAAATTAAGATTTATTAAACTTAGATCTGTCCCCAAACGGTTGGGGGAGCAATCGAGAGGGTGTAGGGATGACTAACACCTAGGCTTTCTCTATTATGTACTGCACTACGTGTGGTTCTACAGGTTGAAACCCATCAATGTTTAATAGGGCAGAGGATTGCTTCAGGAAGGTGACCACAGCAGTTTGTGGTCTTGGGAGCAGTTCATGTCTTTTTTTTTTTAAGATTTATTTTATTTATTTGAAAGACAGTTACAGAGAGAGGTAGAACCAGAGAGAGAGAGAGAAGTCTTCATCTACTGGTTCACTCCCCACCTGACCGCAAGGCCAGAGCTGTGCGGATCCGAAGCCAGGAGCCAGGAGCTTCTTCCGGGTCTCCTCTGTGGGTGCAGGAGCCCAAGCAGTTGGGCCATCTTCTGCTGCTTTCCCAGGCCAAAACAGAGAGCTGGATCAGAAGTGGAGCAGCCGGGGCTTGAACCTGCTGCCCATTTTGGATGCTGGCACTATGGGCCAGGGCACTACGGGCCACAGCACTGACCTCGAGCAGTTCACATCTTTGTAAAAATGCATTTGAGGCTGGCGCCGCGGCTCACTAGGCTAATCCTCCACCTAGCGGCGCCGGCACACCGGGTTCTAGTCCTGGTCGGGGCGCCGGATTCTGTCCCGGTTGCCCCTCTTCCAGGCCAGCTCTCTGCTGTGGCCAGGGAGTGCAGTGGAGGATGGCCCAAGTGCTTGGGCTCTGCACCCCATGGGAGACCAGGATCAGCACCTGGCTCCTGGCTTCAGATCAGCGCAGTGTGCTGGCCGCAACGCGCCAGCCGTGGCGGCCATTGGAAGGTGAACCAACGGCAAAAGGAAGACCTTTCTCCCTGTCTCTCTCACTGTCCACTCTGCCTGTCAAAAAAAAAAAAAAAAAAAAAAAAAGGGCATTTGAAATGCAAAGAGACAGAGACAGAGATCCCCTATCTGCTGGTTCACTCCCCAACAACAACTGGGGCCAGGCCGGGCTGAAGCCAGGAGCCTGAAGCTTCATCCGCATCTCCCACTTGGGTGTTAGGAACCGAGCACTTGAGCCATCGCTTGCTGCCTCTCAGGGTGCACATTAGCAGGAAGCTCCATTGAGAGTGAGGCCAGGACTTTGATAGAGGAGGCTGGCATCCCAAGGGGTTGCCAAATGATTGCCCCTACCTCTGTTTTATGGACCTTATTGATCGGTGCAATATTCTGAGCATCACTAGGTATTTGTAGAACTGAGCAAAATTAGCAAGAATCTAAAGTAGCTTCCCTGTTAAGTGCCTTTAAATGTATTTATTTATTTATTTGCAAAGCAGAGGGAGAGACAGAACTCCCATCCACTGGTTCACTCTCTAGATTCCCACAGCTGGCCAAAGCTGGGAGGTGGGAAGTCAGTGCAGCTCTCCCACAGGATGGCTGGAAGCCAGTTCCTGGAGCCATCACCATGGCAACCCAACTGCAAGGAGCTGTAGCCAGTAGCCGGAGCTGGGAACTGAACCCGGGTACTCCAGTGTGGGATGCAGCATCTTAACTGCTGGGCTGAATGCCTGCTCTGTTAGGTGCATTTGTTGAAATGTTTACTTATTTTATTTGAGAGACAGCGAGAGAGAAAGAGAGACCGACCTTTCATCCACTGGTTCACTCCCCAGTAGCCCACAACAGCCAGGGCTGGACCAGGAGGAAGCCAGGAGCTAGGCACTCATTCTAGGCCTGCTGTGTGGATGGCAGGGATCCATGCTGCCTCCCAGCATGCTCATTAGCAGACAATGGGATGGGAAGCTGAGGGGCTGGGTCTCAAACCAGGCACTGGGATATGAGATGCAGATGGCCTGAGTGGCCACTTTATCTCTGGGACAAATGCCTGTCCCTGTTAGCTGGTATCTTTTTCCCCCTCAAATACTTAATCCTTTTTTTCTAGGTTGTCTTTAATAGAGAAGCATACAGGATGTTATTTATAGTCACCCTTCTGTGCTGTAGAACCCCAGAACTTCTTACTCGTATCTAGATATAGCCTAATACGCACAGTCAACATTTCCCCTATTTCTCCCTCCCCAATCCCTTCTCAGCCGCTGGTAACCACCATTACATTTGTAAATTCTATTTTAATTGATTTAGTGACAGGATTAAATAACTCCAGCATCCAGGCCAGATGATGCGAATGTCTCCTCCTCAATAAAATGTAATTCAAAATCGGAACTTAATTATATTCTAGAGACTAGATGGGCGACTCCTTAGGGGCTGGGGACAGGTAATCAGGCATCTCAGTTTCTTTTCTTTTCTTTTAAGATTTCTTTATTTACTTGAAAGAGTTACACAGAGAAGGAGAGGCAGGGTGGGGAGTCTTCTATCTGCTGTTTCACTCCCCAGTTGGCTGCAACAGCTGCAGCTGTGCAGATCCAAAGCCAGGAGTTTCTTCCGGGTCTCCCACGTGGGTTCAGGGGCCCAAGGACTTGGCCATCTTCTACTGCTTTCCCAGGCCATAGCTGAGAGTTGGATCAGAAGTGGAGAAGCTGGAACTTGAACCGGGGCCCATATGCCATAGGTGGCAGCTTTACTCACTACACCACAGTGCTGGCCCCATCTCTCAGTTTCTTGCACAGGACTTAAAAGGCGATTGTAGGGCCCAGCACTGTGGCATAGCAGGTAAAACCACCGCCTGCAGTGCTGGCATCCCATATGGGCACTGGTTCGAGTCCTGACTGCTCCACTTCTGATCCAGCTGTCTGCTATGGCCTGAGATAGCAATAAAGGATGGCCCAAGTCCTTGGGCCCCTGTACCCTCATGGGAGGCCTGGAAGAAGCTCCTGGCTCCTGGCTTCGGATCGGCATACCTCCAGCTGTTGCAGCTAGTAGGGGAGTAAACCTGCGGATGGAAGACCGACCTCCCTCTCTCTCTCTCTCTTTCTCTCTCTCTCTGTCTCTCCTTCTCTGTGTAGCTCTGACTTTCAAAGAAATAAATACATCTTAAAAAACAAAAAGGCAATTGTAAAAGTACAAGCTGGAGGACGGGGTTGGAGCTGTGGCATAGCAGGAGTCCCTGCTGCTCCACTTCTTTTTTTTTTTTAATTTTTTTTTTTTTTTTTTTTGGACAGGCAGAGTAGACAGTGAGAGAGAGAGAGAGACAGAGAGAAAGGTCTTCCTTTTCCATTGGTTCACCCTCCAATGGCCGCCGCGGCCAGCGTGCTGCGGCCGGCGTACCGCGCTGATCTGATGGCAGGAGCCAGGTACTTATCCTGGTCTCCCATGGGGTGCAGGGCCCAAGTACTTGGGCCATCCTCCACTGCACTCCCTGGCCACAGCAGAGAGCTGGCCTGGAAGAGAGGCAACCGGGACAGAATCCGGTGCCCCAACCGGGACTAGAACCCGGTGTGCTGGCGCCGCTAGGTGGAGGATTAGCCTAGTGAGCCGCGGCGCTGGCCACTGCTCCACTTCTGATCCAGCTTCCTGCTAAGGTGCCTGGGAGAGCAGTGGAAGATGGCCCAAGTCCTTGGGCCCCTGCACCCACGTGGGAGACCTGGAAGAAGCTCCAGGCTCCTGGCTTTGGATCAGCCCAGCGTTGGCTGTTGCAGCCATTTGAGGAGTGGCCCAGCAGATGGAAGACTGCTCTCTCTATCTCTGCCTCTCTCTGACTGCGACTCTACCTCAAATAAATAAATAAAAGCTTTATATATATTTAAAAAAAAAAGTACAAGATGAAAAGGATGCAAATTAACTGTTGAAGATGTGGGAAAACTGAATACTTCAATAAACCAAGTGTGAGCCAGTGTGGGTGTCACATGAGGGAGGTGATCAGTCCACTCATCACTGGTCACGTCTTCATAGGTATGGCACTCAGATGAGAGGCGTGACCACAGACTGTTAGGAAGAGCCTTTGAAAGAGCTGTTAATATTAGGCTGCTGACAAGATGACTGAGGAAGCTCTCAGAATTTGTCCTCGATGTATAGGAGCAATGCAAGAAGCCACACGGATTGATCTCATCTCAGAATTCATTGTGTATGGAAGTGTTACTCAAACTAGCACTTGTTCATTGCAAAAATCCCACAAATAGGATAAAGAATAATGGTTGTTCAAAAAGAGAAAGCTACTGGAGGCCGTGTGATATGTGATCCTAGGTCATGTTTCTCAGCTTGAGCATTTTTATTTAAAGATTTATTTTATTTGAAAGAATTACA